AGGAGGCATAAGGGGTGGCCTGACGGCAAGGTGATGGGTTATTTGCAAAGAATATGGGACCTTTTGCTAAGGGGTCTCTGTGTCACAGTATTTCATCAAGGGATTGTTCCATCCTAGCCCATCTTCTCTATGGGATTCTACTGTGAAATCATAATGCTGGGTTTCTAACATCAAATTCATTTCCATAGTAGAGTTTGGGTCTGCATCCTGTTCTCATTCAAGTTAATAGGTTTTTTGCCACTGATTTCAATACCAGAAATGGCAGACCCCAAAATGCCACATACCCATGATTGTGACCACGGGTGACAGGTATAAGAGGCAGGTGAAGGCAATGTCTTCCCAAACTGCCATCCTGGCCCCACCCTCACACCACCCTCAGCCCCTGCCTCCCTTAAGAGCATCTCCTCCAGCCTCCTGGAGGTGTCTAGCCTTGGTGCCATGCCATCATCCCTTCTGGGCCTGGGGAGGCTGGGGCTGGGCACTGCCCACACTCCGGGGCCACAAGGCCACCTGCCACATGCACTTCTGGACCAAGGATCCACCCTCACCATGCTCCAGGGAAGGCTGGGGCCATGCGCCCTCACCCTCTCTCCCACGTATTCCCACTGGTGCCAGGAAAAGCCAGGGCCGTGTGCCACCTGCTGTGGGAAGAAGTGGTGGTGGGGGAGGGGTCATCACTTGACTCCCACAGGATCCTGCATGGCGGGGCAGAGCTGGGGTATTGCCTCTCCCTGTCTTAGGTTCACCAACCACCCATGATTTTGACTTACATTCAGGAATAAGCAGAAGGAGAAAATGGGCTACAGTTTAGAAAGAGCTTTTCCAAAAATGGAATTCATACTGCCAAGGACATTTCCAACTTTTTTCCAGCATCTTTCATCTAACATCCATCATGTACTGATTTTAACAATATATGCTTAAAATTGTCTTCAGTGATAAAAGTAAATGTTTATATTTCATAAAAATTTCTCAATAATATTATTTTAAAAACTGAGACAGGGAAGCTTTGGTCTTTCAGCCCACTAATCTAATTTCAAATACCGCTTGGATATTTAATCACTGTATTAATAAAGGTGTAATTTTAATAATGATTCTGATTACACATCTTCTGCTTTCTCAGTGGTACAGATAAGAATGGCAAATTCCAGAAACTTCATTAAAATTTGTATTGCTCATCAGAGGCATTTCCTGCTTTCAGAATGTTTCACTGAAGAGGCCAAACATGGAAATCATGCTGAGTGCCCTGACAAGTAATTGCATGACTAAGAGTGCAAATATTGAATAATGTTGTTTATAAACAAGTTACTTATTACTCCCTTCATGACTGTCAACATCATTAGAACATCATCTACTTTTTTCACTTGGTTTTTGTGTTTGCTAAATTTACCTTTTCTAACCCCAACCAAATATGTATCTCTTCACTCTGGAGTTTTATAGTCACTGTTGCATTTTGTTTTATTCCTACATTACTTATTTTCATTTGGATACAAATAATGTATCTTTTCTGATACTGACAACATAACAAAATGTTACTTAAGTGTGAATTGTACTGTTTTGCTGGTACCATAGCCCCTTGAACTCTGAAGCTGTCAGATCTCATAAACTAGAAGAGATTTGGTTTGGTGAGTTAGCTCTGGAAGCAAGGTCTTCACTAAGATCACCAAACTGGATCTACATTCTACTTTAAGATCTCCTGAATACTGGTACAGCAGTGTGTAAATTCTGAGGTGATTTTATTTCAATTAGAGAATGGATGTTTTTGGTGATAGTAAAATTAGTATAATAATCTCTGCATATTTACTTTGACATTAACTTCAGTTTATTTTAAGCTGTCCCTTCATTTCTATTTTCAACGCCCTAGCTAATTTTTGTATTGATAACACTTAGTTGCATTATAAAAGCGGTCTCATGAAAGCTAGAGATTTGGGCTGTAGGGTAAAGGGCAGAGAGAGATTTTGATACTCAAAAAGGCTTGAGAAGTGGGTTGGAATTGTGGGATAAGCATATTACCTGGATGTTTCCACTAAAATGATCATCCATGAACTATTTAGAAATTTAATTTTCTACTTTGTTTTCCTTAGATTTCAGAGTTAACTCCCTAATACAGCGTTTCCCAAATGGTGTTCCATGGAACCCTGGGGTTCTGCGAAGAGAAAACAAAGGTTCCGGGAGAAAATTCCATTACAATAACATTTTATGGTTTAAAAATTCATGAATATTTAAGCATTTATTAATTTGATTGAAAACAATTTTCATTTGTGTTTGCCACGATAAGTGTTCCTGCTTACCCAGAGAGTGGGGCAATGATGTCACTACTCAGAGCTGATGTCCATATATTAGAATGTTATTAGGGATTCCACAAAATACTTTCGAGTTTAAAAGGGTTCCGTGGCCAAATAAAATTGGGAAACACTGCTCTAGTAAGATGAATAGAGGTAGTCCACACTCCTCAAAGCTACCTTGCAGGATGTCTGCCAACTCAGGAAGTGCATCTCCTTATATTTGGTTCACATTTTAAGGTTTAAACACAACCAAAATGTAAACAAATGTAGATTTCAGGGAAATCATAGATCTATATGGTGCAGGAAGTAGTGTTAGGGAATTTGGAAACACTGCTCTAGTAAGATGAATAGAGGTAGTCCACACTCCTCAAAGCTACCTTGCAGGATGTCTGCCAACTCAGGAAGTGCATCTCCTTATATTTGGTTCACATTTTAAGGTTTAAACACAACCAAAATGTAAACAAATGTAGATTTCAGGGAAATCATAGATCTATATGGTGCAGGAAGTAGTGTTAGGGAATTTGTTAG